TTAAAAAAAATATCAGTTAACCGACTGCCGTACAACAAAGCTGGCAGGTTCAGCCCATGACATGCTCAAATGAAATGTGGTTCGTCTGACAACGTATGGACAAATGTCATTCATATAAAAAGGAATATGATATTCAGAAATGTACTTTAATTACTGTTGGCTAACTTAATAGAGTGACACCCTCTGTGCGTAAAGAGTGCAAAAAACGTTGATTAAACAATCTAAGAAGGGGATAGTTTTTTTCTATTGCCACTAGGTCCCCAATTAGTATTGATTTAGATGCGTCGACATTGATTAGGTGTGCTTCATTCAAACCAAAACAGGGCGCACCACAACAATCCACATTTCGTTAGTGTAGCTCTCGCATAATTCTGAGCAACAGTGTGGAAAACAAGGGCTGTCGGTTCTCCAGTTTTCTTCCATGCATATAAGCGCTTCACATTCAAACAAATTTTGGTCTCTCAAAAGAAAAAAACAGAAATGTGGTGACAACTAACATCCCAGAAAAGCAAGCTCAACAAACGAAAGTTATATGAAAAAGTGGTCGGTTGATGCACCATGAACCTTTGGTTAATTTGCTTTATGTCCAAACTGAGATATATGTATTTTGATGGGCACTGCAACTAGGTTGTAAGACATTTTCAGGTGAAGGCTTGTATCAACAAACTTATGTAATGAATATGAGAGGTCAAAATTTCATGTCATTCAGTCTTTCAAAAGTCTAGTTTAGATATCCGAAGTGCACAAAGGGAGAATTTTTCTTCAGAGGTTTCCTTTACCCAATATTTCCCTGAGAAAAAAATGATCACAAATTATGATGCGAGAAGAAACATCGGTGGGATGGATTTTGGTTTTATGTTGAAAGAATAGCAAGCCAAATGAAAGACACGATTCCGCTCTAGTTGTAAGTGCAGTTAGTTGTAAATATTGCGAGATACTTCAGCAAAATGCAGTTTACTGGCTGGGAGCCAGTAAAAAACAACATCAAGAAAACTATCGTAGTATTCAGACTATAGGTTCACCCTACGACAAATACCAGCCCATACCCCGATGGAACAAACGCCTACGGATTGGATGTGGATGTACCAAAGGAATTGTCAAAATCTGCGGGCCAGCCTATGATTGAGCAGTTGAATACAGAATGGCACACCTCATCTACTATCATACGGCTCCCATCGTACCAAAACAATGCATCCGCACGAGATAAAATTCATGAGTCACCGATTGGAGCACCAATTTGAGTAAGTTCCTACATTTATTCGTCAGTTTGATCACAGTTCCAGTAATTTACGTACACTACCAAAACACTGTCAACCTTCAAACCATGCTTCCATTCCGATTACTCTAAACCAGTTTTTACATAAAGCCCAACGCAGTACACAGAGAATGATGTCTGAATGCTATGGTTCAAGATGAAGGCTAGCAAAATGTGATCTAATTTTCCCCACCGGTCCGCACTCCGCCTTGACACTCAAGAAGGACAAATTGGCCAACTTATCGACGGCTTAGGATCGTCTGTCTACCCAGACTCGTTTAAATAAGCTTGTTTGTTGTTGGCATTTTATATCATCCTAAGCGCCGTTGTCTAGCTCAACCTAACTAAATTTTGTAACCTACAACAGCCCTGGTGAACGGATTCCGCAGGAATGAGAGTTTTTCCAATTTGCCGGACAATATTTAGCTTTTATCATCGAAATTCTGCAATCTGTGAACTCTGCAATTGTATTGTTCATATAATACCTATTTCGGTAGTTTTGACAATATTTTATGCTTGGTCAAGACCCTTTTATATTACGTTCATTCAATGTTTCCATTTGCCCCAGCATATACTTGACCCGTGGTGCAATCCGTTAAACTAGTCTATAACTTGGGCAAATTCTTCACTTTTACCAAGATCAAATTTCACACAAGCAGAAACAACTTTGGAAAGCCTATTATTTTGATGATAGATATGCATTTTATTGAGCTTTCATGCTACGATCATGTACGTATGTCTTACCCTGATAGCAGGTAAACAAGAGATGAAGGGACTTCTAGTATTTATATTTTGATGATAGATATGCATTTTATTGAACTTTCATGCTACGATTACGTACGTATGTATGTCGTTCCCTGATAGCAGCTAAACAAGAGATTAAGGGACTTCTAGTATTTATGGAAAATCTTTTTCGGGAGCTGGCACATTGCTTGTCATTTCAGTATACCCACAAAAATTTGTTGTTCGTCACTACGGTAACCGTTCAACAAAACTCACCGGTGAGGAAACTATGCCCAGGAAAACTCGCCAAATTCAAACAAACGAGTTTTACTCTTGCGCGTATCACGGCGTGTTACTGATTGCAGTATTTGAATGTGGTAAGGCTACCCTGGTCTAAAACATTATGGCATATACCAAATGTGTGATTGAAACAACCGATTCAACCTTACTTAACCTGTGGCTGGTGCATCGATTTAATTATCTGAAACTCCAGTTTTCAATCCACAATCCAGCATTAAGAGTACTCCTGTCCAATAACAGGCTATTGGGATGCATCCCAGGACTCGTACTTATTTCGGGTAGCGCAGTCAAAAGGTACTTCATCTGACCGATTACTGTAAATTGTCACTCAAGTTGAGGAGAGAAAAAATTTTTAAGCCACCGTATCTGTAGCAGAAACTTTGGCACTCGGAGATCGTCATCGTCTGGTTATAGATGATACTCGACAGAGATCTACTTTTTTTACTGTAGAGCGAAAGTAGGCTAAAAAATCGAAAAACAATGTACTGCTCTTTCATACCTAGTGAGATGTGCACAGCGGGATAGTCACCACAGTCAATAGGATCAACAACGTAACGAACACTAGCTGATGAGTAAAATGTTCAGCTATGATAAGTGATCAGCTACGCAATTAACTCCCCCCCAAATGAGATATAGCGTCGCTGATTCATCAGTCATTGAAGTCACATTACGTGTTGACGATCTGACTGCCAAGTCAACTAAAAACATCTTAGATGGAAGGTTGGTGTAACTTCTGAATTTTACCTCCTGTTAAGCAAAGTAAAACATTTTGATTCGATTTCCGTTCGACGAATTTTGTACTAATTCCACTTTCCCATTTTAAATGGGAAATGTTTATTCATGGTGTATTTTGTTCTTTATTCTATTCGAAGGGCGGTTGGTGAAATACGGTCATAAATAGTCTTGTAATTTATTCGCAAACTTCTGTACATTCTGCTCGAAGGCATTCATTTTAGAAGATTTTACCTATTTTTGGGAGTTTAGGTAGATGTATAATACCGTTCATTTTGCTTTGACGGATATTTGCCATTAATAAGATATATGTACAGGAGTATAAAGCTGTTATCTACTCAAAAAGTCTGTGACAGTCCTTGAGATGCAAGTAATGTACGCATCGATATACCCACTCATTTTTCACTAGACGTAATTGTTCTTCGAAACGATAAGGACTTTGATGTCATGGGGTTTGTAATATAAGCCGTAATACGATAGTTTTTACTTGAATATATTGGGTGAATGCACTTGAACATTCTGTAAATAACAAAAGGCCTGTGATACTCGACAAAATATGTTTATGTCACGGTATATTTTGGTCTAATATCACGTCCGGCAGTGTTGTACCTATATTCATACCGCTATCATTCTGGTCATTATTTTCGAGCTATTTTGCTGCCAGGTCAAGTTAAAAAGGTCACTCAATTAGATTAATAATCAACACAGTACTGTTAAAATTTGTAGAATATTTTTGACAAAAATGTCATAAGTTTTGAGTGTTTCCCCTGATTAAAGTTTCTGACTTGCTGAAAAGATCAAAAAAATTTTTTGTAACCAACTATTCTATATCACATGCAGCCGCACATAGAATGGGACAAAAAATATAACACTGGCTGGTTCTACAAAATATCCACTGACGGGTTTCAGTACCTGCACGCAAAAAAGGCTAAAAAACTGGCAATCTATCGGAATGTTGATATCTCGATTGCGCCTATTAGATGTACATATGTTGGCTGTTGATTCGCTTGCCCGGGTCAGTCACCTAAACGTAATACCATTAGCGTACGCCTTTTCAAAAGAATGTAAATAAATACACTGCAGTTGCAAACCTAAACAAATTATTAACCTAGATGACATTGAAATATATTCGCTTCCAAGCATTGTCAAAACAACAGAACACACAAACCAGTTAAAAAATGAAACTGTATTATTACCCGAAGTTTGCCCGGTTTCGTATGGTGTTGGCGTCAATCTGCACTGCTTTGTAGCCAGGTAGTGTTCCCTGTCCACTCTACCACGAGTGACAAGATTTGTTCCAACCAGTGAAAACGTCTGCGAGTCACTAATTATCGTCACAAGCGGACCACGATCACTTGCTGTCTCCTCCCTGGTATCGTCTCGCGTGTACATGTCTACACCAAAATCTTTCAATAGCGGACCCATGTCACATACAACTGTTCCAATCGCACATTCTTCCGTTACAACACAGACGGTGTGTAATCCAGCGCTCCGAGCGGCCAGTCTGCGTAGCTCGATGCAGGCTATTAGTGTGATTGTGTTGATAGCGAATCCAGCTTGTAGACGGTGCATGTTTCAGGACTTTACTACTACAGTTTCACACACATTGCTGAAGCCATTCGGTTATCATCCTGGAATCGTGCTTGATTCAGTGTTAATGGACGCATTTCTGATGGTGCTCAGGAGAAGTAAATATCACAGTAGACTCTAACCTCGTTTTGATTTGCTTGTCAACGGGATAAAGCGTGGGTGGAAATTTCCCCGTTTCCTATTGGCCCGGTTCAATTTGGGGTGATAAAACGCTAATGATTAAGAGGATGCAACCACATATAATCATCGTCAGTGCGCCTCAAAATAATAAAGAGAACCGTAAAGTTTACCTAAATGTTTGGCAAAATGACATTATTCCTTTTTGTTCCCCAGCGTCTATTTCAAACATGCGCCAATTCCGCTTGTATTTCTGGTCTTCAATTTAATCTTTTGCTTGCTTTTAGGCAAAATCTGGCAAGCACGTTTGCGGCGCCATTTCTGGATTGCCCGAAATTGGCTGCCATTTCAAAAGCAAGCCGTTTGCTGCCTCTGAACGAAGCAGGGCAATAAATCATTTAGTGGTTCTCTTGTTCAGGCAAAATATGAAAAGATTGTGGTTCCCGCCTGATTCGAATGAAAAACTAGCATTTTGGATTTGAAAGTCAAGCTGGTATTTCATTTTATCTGATTCACTGTAGGATTAGTGTTGTATCATTTGTTGCAATATTGTTATGACCAAACATTCGACTTATTTTTGTGCGCTTTTAAGCTTAAATTTAAAAAAACACAATGCTTCACGTGGCACCCTGTTTGACATTCAACTTAGCCTGTAGCTGCCTCAAGCTATAAAATATCATGATTTGCGATTAAAAAGAGGTGAAATCTTGTTCGTACTTTTCACTGAACCCACGCTATATGCGGTCATAATTTTTTCCCAGTGATGGTCGTTGCTTGTTCGCTGAGCTGGGCAGTTTGATTGCAAACGTTTCATCACCAATCGAGGTGACATCATCAGCAGTTATTCATGAGCGTAGTGGTGCGTAGCGGTGGGTTAGTGGTTAAACCTCTTCCCAGTGAGTTTCATTACGCCCGTCTGAAATATGGGTAATTTTCGTATGTCTGATCCACATTTTCAGGACACATTGACTCACCTCCAGGTATAATAACCAACGATGATTCAAAGCCCTGAAATTCTTCCTGACACTACCATTTCACAAGATGGTATTTATGTGCTAGAGCAAAGAAAATTTTTTCGGTGACGAGACTTTTCATTATAAGCCCTAAATCATCCGTCTAGTAATGTTCTAGAGGCAAAATAATGCACTGCCGCAAACCAGAGAGAAACGAATTAATACTTATTGGATTATAATTGCTGACCCTCTGTAAACCACGAAGACCTTTAAAAAATAACGCTGTAAAATTTCTAGTTCTATGATGACGATGCAACGAGTTGATATATTTTCACCTTAGCATTCACAAGAGTAACCTTCGTTCATTCCTACACACGGATGTTGTGAGTGGTATTTGTTTGCGGAATGTTAACTTGCATTCTTTTATATAGCTGGTATTAGTTCATAAAAAACACAACTTGGACTAATCTAATTGAACTTTGCCATTTTCCAGACATTTTCTAATATGTCTAACCATAATATAGCAATCTAAGTAGGGTGGTTTTGCGTTCCAGAGCTCAGGAACGTCAGTAGCCATTTGTACAATATAGAAATTCAGTTGATTGAAGTTTGTGCGTCAGCCCTCACGCGGGAAAACGTGAGGAATTAGGCATGTGAATATCATGGCAATGCTCATCAGAGTCACAAACGGGACTCACAAGCCTAATCATTGTGACGAACAACACAATACTACTCTATGTTGACAGACCGCACCTTCCTCAGGCTCGTTCACACCCCTGAAACAGAGCCCTCAGTATGAGAACGAACGAAAATTTAACAGCTTGAGCGCACAATTCTTGCAAGAATTAGTAGTGCTTGTCACGAGATAGATCCGCACGGTTCACATTAATTTGACTCATATAATTTCATCCGTTTATGCTATTAAAAAGGTTGGCAGTCTATCCTAGTAGAATGTTAAGTGTAATATCTTGAGAAAGGAAAGTGAGTTTAAGAAGAAAACGGAGGGCAAAGATAAGGAATAATGCGTTAGAAAAGTTAACAAAGCGGTTATTGTGCCCAGATGCAGATTAAAATGATCCAGATTTACGGTTAAACATAGGCCAAAAACCAGGGTTAAGCGAGAATGAAACTGACTGGAAAACGGCGCAATTGCATGGGCATTTTAGGCATAATCACCTAAACGTAAAACTTGTTATGCCGGCATTTTTGATGTCAGACACGACAAAGAACAAAACAACCCTAAAGTAATTACAAGGCGCTACCCACTTTTTACAAAATTGAACCAGTATATGACTAGTTGGAGATTCACTGTATAAAATGATTTACGAATGCTGACTCAAGTTTATAACTTCCACAAGAAGTGTGACTAAAAGAACTGCTCAGTGGTTTTTCTGCTTGCGCATGACACACGCTATGAAAAGGGCAGACTATTTCTTGCACAGTCTTCATCCCCTTATTGGGACTCAAGAAAGGTAACCGAAGTGATCTTTTTTGATGTTCATTAGGAACAATTTGTAAGTTTTATTTCGACTAAGTAGTATGACGTAGGCGAATTCCCGTCAATGCAGATTTCTTGAAATAATATCGTAAATTCTGACTCCAAAAAGTGATCAGTACTTATATTTTGCCTCGGTTTTCTACTTTCGGGATGAACAAACTAGGTAACTGAGATAAATCGTTATGAATGTCCGAAATAGTGACTTATTATTAAAAATTGCCCTGAATTTATTTGATTTTGCATTCTTAATAGAACGTTTATGCCATATATTTTATAGCATTGCTGCATTAACCAAATAGCGAAATTGGCATGCTTTTATCTGAAAACTTCAAGAATCTCGTAGGACTTACCTTTATGATAATTGATGGCCTCTGGTTTTTAAGGCTAACTCGTTTGACGTTACATTGTTTGTTACATCGTACTCCCTCAAACGCACTTCCGGAACATGACGAGTAGCTTTGTTTGAAAATGGTTTCTGAGATCAAGGTTTTACAAATTACCATTGTTGTCATGGAACCAAAAGATGATTTCTCCGAATTCTTTTGGTAGGAATTGTTGCGTCTATTAGCCTGCCGTGTTTCGTAACAACCTGCTGATGCCTTGATTCGAATTCCCGTTGTCATCATTAAAAAAAGTATTATGCTCAAATGATTTCTAGTGTTGTTTTTTGTCCCAAATACTCACTCCTGTAGATTCCAGTGCGGCAGAATTTTTCACAGAATGGAGTGTGTATCGTTGACCGTCTGCTCTACGTAATTTTACATTTATATACTAACACTGCAGTCCAAAGCGGACATGTCTGCTCTCGAACTCATGCTCGCTCTTGCCAGGCATCTTACGTATTCTCGTGTTCTCGAAAGCACATTATTAGAGACAATATTCAAAAATCTGACCATCTAAATTAATCAACAAACATGTTATATTAGTCACCTAGAATTCATTCCATCCCATAACAACGTTTGACTGCGGCTCACGTTTCACATGTTGGTCGCACATAACAGTGAGTTTATATCGTGTGAGTTCTTGCTATATGTTTAAAACGAGAAACGAACTCCGATCTGGGCAAAAAAATTACTAGCGAGTTTCTACCAAATCCGGGAATCTCGTATGGTAAACAATGACAGGATAATATGCTATATCATAAAATCTTTCCGAAGGCTATTTCAAGTCAAGTGGGCACAAAATTCGTCGGTTTTATCAAAAACATAGCAACAGGATGTCAATTAATACCGGAGTAATATCAAAGTACGACCATATATGGGATAGTTTTATAGCTATCTACATAAAACCCTCAGTAAACGTTCGCAATAAACTTCAACAAAATGCAGTTCACCGGTTAAAAGCCAGTGATAAACATCAAGAAAATTACTGTATAATTCGGACTATAGGTTCATGCTGCCCACAGATTGGATGTGGAAATGTTAGTGTACAAAAGAAGTTGCAAAAACTACCGCTTAGCTAGATTAGTCTATGACTGAGCGGCCCAGTATTACCACACTGCTTCTGTCGTGACAACAGAATGCATCAGCAGAAGCTAAGGCTCATGAGTCACTGATTGAAGCACCGATTCGAGTAAATATATACATTTAATCGTCTGTTTGATCACAGTTCCAGTAATCTACGTTAATCACCTAAACACTGTCAACCTTCTGACCATGCTTCCATCGAGATCGTGCAGAACCGGCTTTTACATAAAGTCCAACGTAGTACACAGAGAATGTTGTCTGAATGCTACGGTTCAAGATGAAGACGAGCAAAATGTAATCTAATCTCCCCACCGGTCTGCACTCCGCCTTGATACTTGCCATATTCCTCGAGAAGGAAAATTGCTCCACTCATCGACGGCTTGGGACCGTCTGTCTACCCAGACTCGTTTGAATAAGCTTGTCGGTTGCCGGTGTATTTCATCCTCCTACGCAGCGTTGTCTAGCTTAACTTAACTACAGTTTGTGGCCTACAACATTCCGGCTAATCTGATTCTGCAGGAGTTACGTCTCTTTCTAATTTGTTGGACAGCCTTTTCCCCGTTTTCTATATCCGATTAAAAGGGCAATAATCTGCTTGTAATCTTACCTATTCCGACCCTGCCAACGTTTCACTCAAGGTCAAGCTGGTTCGACTGACGAAATTCACTTTACACCGTTTTCTCAGTCATCCCCAATCACCCGCTTTTACTCTGGCTGAAAATATTCTAATCACGTTTTCCATTTTATAATGTCCGTTCTACGACAGAATGGTTGTGTCAGCATGGGCGTACCTTACGAATTTCAGGAGTGTTTTTACATTATTCTCCTAATGATCGCTGTCATCATGAGCTTCTATAAACTAGTATAAGCCCGTTTGCATGATCACTGCGGCCTTCGAATAGGTAGCCTTTGAGATGAATCAAGTAAAGCAACAAAATGTACTCTTGCCGAAAGTTTCACGTGAAATCGTAACACTTCTACCTGGGACGCTCAGATAGGTTTCAGGCAAAATCACTTGTTCTTCGCAATCGAGAAATATGCATGTTTAGGTAGAAAGTGCGATTATTACTACAGTGATCTCTTGCAGGTTTCGCCCAAGCAGGTGTGTGTGGATCTGAGTAAGCTTATGTTTTGTGGAAGCTTCAAAACTAGTGCTAGGCAATGAAGGTGCAAACCAAAATTATTATTGTGTAAGAAACTGTCTATCCTGGATGCTAATTACTTGGTATAGACTACACCGCCAGTGGTAGAAAATCATTTCGTCAGGCGTGTTTCTTCAGCGGTCAGTAAGGATTTTTGCTTAGTTTCCTTATGAGTTTGTGTTAATCATCCTAAATAAGTTGTCTTGTTCCAGCTTCCCGTGTAAGTAGGAAAGCTGGAAAAAATGTAATATGCAAAAGCCTTTTAATTCTGATATCAGAGTTAGCCCTATCAATGACGTCACCCAAGCGCTAC